CTGGTCGCTTCTTCGAGATTCTTAAAGCATACGTTCAGCGAGCGAGATGTGCCTTGGATGGTCCGAGTGCGCGTCAAATCGCACCTCGACTGTTTATGCTTTACGTCTGCAACCTTCGTCTCTGTCTACTTCTTAAATTTCTTCGTCGTCACCGCCCTTCTTTTGCTCCATGTGACTCGCGTTTTATTTAAGTATTGAAATCTTGAAAACTCGGTTTAACAGTTCTTGTACTTTTTCAAACCAATTTGTCAATTTTTTATATATATTACATTAAAACAGTGATTCTATTGTTCAACCCAATATTAAAGTTATAGTCTTAATTTACAAAAAAATGTATTTTTGAATTCAAAATCTAAAAGAAGAAATTCATTGCACGGTAACCGAAATTAAGCATCAAATACAGCATATAATTGACATTGAAAAAGTAACGAGCATCGTCGTTAGCTTGTGCTCGAGTCTTATTAGCAACAATAAAATCGGCCGCTTGTCGACTCATCCTTCTTAATTGCACGACGACAGGTGACTTGGAACAAATATGATTTAAAATTGGATTTCATCGTAAATTTAACTTCGTGCCAAAATGTTGCAAATGTTCCAAATTTTTCCTCCCTTTTTTCGACACACGCATTGCTTCCTAAACCGTATCCTTGATAAAAATGAATTTTATTGAAATATGCATGGTAGGAAGAAAACAGGAAGAAAGACGGACATATCTGTTAGCGCTATGAAAACTGTCCAAGCAAGCGAAGTACCCGAAGACAGACACTGACCGTGAACTGCGAGACCTAAAAGAAGTTTACCTTATGTCGTAAATAGAGGGACGTCTTTCTTACGTTCGAAGTTGACAGAACCACGTGCTCCACAAACTTTCGAAGAATCTCAATCTTTCGTTTAAGCTTTATGTTAAACTTCGTGAGCTTTCGTTATTTTATAGCTGAAATGTGTCTTTATCTATATATATATATATATGTGTGTGTGTGTGTGTGTGTGTGTGTGTATTCTATTTATAAAATTTTGTATAACAATTAATATGACATAAAATCATGATCAATTACACTAATGCTATTCAAATAAATGAATGAGTCAATGTTTTTACAGAATTCTCTCGGCACTATTCGATACTTGTCAATTCTGCGAAAAAACTACAGTAAAAGAGGAGTAGTACGCATAAGGTGAACCTCAAAAGATTTTCGCTGTAACATAGTCGGCAGGCATATCCTATCTCGCCGCTGGAATCCTCATATGTCTTTCATCGTGCCTTTCCAACACCTCGGAACCTCTCGGATCATTTTGCTCGGTCTCTCTTCCTCTTTTCTTCCGAGAGTCCATGTCTCAAGCCACGGCAATACGAGAAGGCAATCATATCCCATCCCACTGTCCCAGCTCGACCAAAATATCACTTCGACTACTTACTGAGTGGCCAAAACCAGGGCCGTGTTTGCGCGGTGTGTCGATCACCCCATTGAACTTCTATTCTGCGCTAATTACTCACTCGGCTGCATTGCGTGTTGCGATGACATCGAACGATTCTGACTTTTTCTTTGAGTTCTTATTTATAATGTGAAAGCGAATTTTCTCAGTCCTATTACATTTACTCTACAAATACCATACTATACTCATACTTCATCGAAACTTGTTGTCAATTTTATGCCTACGTAGATCGAAAGTTATTTATTTCAAAAATACTACAAATAGATTGTTGCTTTTATTTGAGATATTTGAAAGTACATTTAGCCTATATCATTTTATAATACAACAATATGTCAATTACCTTTTAATGATTTATTATTCTGTCCATTTTCCTTTTTGCGCAAATTAATGTATTTGTACAATTTTTAATTCAAATAAGAGAACCAATCACGTACTATTTTTTTTAACGTTTTAGTTATTACATCTAAAATTTTTTACATTCACAAATTACACACTATTGTGTAAAATGTATGATAATAAGATAATAATAAAATATTAACGATATTGGGACAAAGTTAATTAAATCTCAAATTAGTTTAGTCAGATTTAGTAAATCCTAATTGTAGACATATAATGGCGCCACATGACATGGTTGAAGGATGTATTACCATTCGTTGGTTAGATATAATTGTTGTGTATATTGTGCTTTTATTCAAAGTTTTGTGCATACTTTGTGTATACATTCGCGGTTGTAAGAAAAATTGTAATACGCTTATGACAGTTATCAATAGCTTGTTCAAAATGAATATAAAATAAACATATAATACTGGCATAAAGAAATAAAAACATTCAAGAAGCGTTTCATCACTTAACCTTACTTTTTTAAAACGTGAGTGTCAATTGTTTAACCTATATGATATATTACTTTTAGTATATACATTTTTATTAACTACTTCCAACTGTCCACATTTGTTATTTTTTTGTTTTAAGTATTACAATGTATTGTTTTTTAGGTTTAACAATGGATTCTCCAGGATCCCAAGCTTTGGAAGTAGCTAAAAATATGAAAGATCTAGCAGTGTTTAAAAAACCATTAGGTGTAGCAAAAAAATATAAAAAACTACAACCAAAAATTTTAGATGAAGATACATATATAAAAAAAATGGGGGAAATTATTCAGAGGGACTTTTTTCCACATTTAGGTAAACTTCAAGCACAAAATCAATATTTAGATGCATTAGAACAAAACGATGTAAAGAGGATGAGAGAATTGTATGAAAAATATAGTTCAGGAAGACCAACAACTGAAAGACCTGCTAGTCCAGCTACATTTGAAACACCTATGAACAAAATTGAGTCTGAAGATGAGCAGTTTAAATCTACAAAAGTACCAAAAGATATACCTGCTAATACAGATACAAAAGAAAAAGACAAAACAGAACCTACAACAGGATTAGATGCATATTTAAGTATACACACAAGTGAAGACAATGCAAGTTTCGAAGAGATGATGATTGAGGCTGAAAAAAAATTAAGGTTGAAATATGCATGGCTTTATGAAGCTGAAGAGAATTGTAAAGCACTAACAAATGCCAAATCTTCAGGTACATTGGCTATTGAAGGTAGTAATGACAAGCCTAATCAGTTAGATAGTTGGAATTATCAAAATAAAAATTATATTATGTATGTTCCTGACGGAGTTGAATTAACTCCTGATGAAAGGATAGATTTAGCCAAGAAAAAGCAACTGGTAATACATGAAAATACAAGGCTTCGAACTAACCCTTTCAATGAACAACAAAATAAAGAAACTATTAATGAATTAGCAAAAAATCAATCAAAAGCCAATGATGGAAAAATTGGAGTTGATGGCAAAGAAATTGTGAGGAATCCAACACCCAGAGTAAACGGATTTAGCTTTGTAGCAACTCCAAGTCCAAGACCTGGAGAATGTGAAAGTCCTTTAATGACATGGGGTCAAATAGAAGGTACACCATTTAGATTAGATGGGGGAGATACACCTTTATTGAGAACAAGTCAAGGACCATCATTTAGAATGGCAGAACCTCCAAAAAGAGAGCAGCTTGCATTGCAACTAGCAGAGAAAGCTGGTGAAAGGCATAGAGATAGAAAAAACAAAGCTTTAGAAGCAGCCAGAAAATCGTTAGCAACGTAAATATTTTTGTACCATTTGCATAGTTGTTTATAACATCTATATAAAATATCTCTTTTTTTATTTCATCTTTTCTTTGTGTAGCCCATCACCAAGGTCAACAATAGATCGTTTGAGTACTATGTCTCCAGCAGCTAGAAGATTAGCTACCCAAAAACTTCGAATTGCAAGTACACCATCTCCACGAAGAGCATTATCCTCAAGGACACCATCGATAGGTATCAGAACACCCAGCACTCCACGAATAAATACAGTTTCAAAACCTGAAAATCACCTTGAACTAAAAAACAATAGTATGCGATGTCAAGGTCCTGTTCTTACCGATAATTTACTTAATCTGCCTCTTCAAAGGCAAAGGGCAGCTGATTTCTTTAATAAGTGAGATATAAGAAGGTGTACTATATTGTATATAGCTGTATAAATAAATAATATATAAATATATTATTTTATAATATATATATATATTATAAATATAATATTATATTATAATATATATATTATATAATATTATATTATAATATATATATATTATATTATTACATGATTAATTATCAAATGTTCATTTATAAGTATTCATTGTCTAAATTACAAAATTTATATTTTACAATAAAATATTCATCAAAAAATAACATGTCATTGATACCAAAAAGAACTAAAATCATGAAAGTACATGTTTCTTTTCCTTTTTCCCACGCCGTGTATATAAACGATAACATGGAAATAATGCGGAAGTACCGATTCATCGAATTATCACGTCCAACATTCAATTCATTAAACATATTTTATTGTAATGTAAATTATAACCAGTACAGGCATATATTCATTTACGTTTACATCAAAACTTAAACAAGTTGTTTACTATGTACAAAAGAAATTTAACTCCACATTTAAAAATACAGGAAGTTTTTAGGATATTTTTAAAAATAACAGGAACTACAATATGCTATCGAATTGCGTAAAGTATCTTTGAATTCAGATTTTTTTCGTATATATAAAGTCTTCACAATTAAGAATGAGACAGAACAGAAGTCATTAATATGAAGTCTTCAGTGTTGAGCGCTCTTTTCGTCCTAACAATAGCGTGCTTGATACTTCAGGCTCAAAGCCAAGGATGTACATGCGGAGGTTTGGGAGAAGGTATTCAATTATAAAAATTAATGCTTATGGTGTAATTTAATTTCTTTTATTTAAAATTATTCATTAAATTCTATCACTTTTAGGTTCAAATCCTTGTAGTCAAAGCGAAGTCGTTGTGAAAGCTACAAAATTACCAAAACCTACACATTTTGTGCCAGCAGAAGAAATCAAGGATGCTGCAACTGTAAAGAATATCCAAACAGGTTGTTCCAACTCAGAAAGTGAGAGCAACTCCAGTCCTTGTAACAGTAATGGTAACACCTGTGGATGTGACAAAAATCCAAATACACAAAGTGAAAGCATTGGATGTAATGACAGCAATTGTAGTTGTAATAAGCAAAATATAGAAACTTTGGATGTTGAGGATTCTGTGAATTCCAATGGCAATGTTGCACCAAGGTATATTTATCTTTATTTTTTAAATAGATAATATAATAACCAGAAAGTATATAAGAATTTCCATCTTAAATTTTTATTTGTAGATTTCCTCCAATTGGTGATTTGTGTTATCCTCTTCCAATAGAACCTAGTAGTGGAAAAATGATAGAAAAAACTAAAGTTACACCAGCTTATCCTGGCAAACTTGTATGTTGTCCTTCATCGGTTCCACATGAAATTTGTATAAATACAGCTACTGGAGAAACTAAAAGTAAAACACTTAGTTCCTCTGATGCTACATCCGAAACTGTTTCACATGGAAGCATAAATTTTGACACACTTAGTGGATTAAATTCTGCAATATATAATTTACCCTTAGTTTATGCTCACTTAAATAATGAAAATACACAAAAGCAATATTCAAAAATGAGTATGAGTAGCAGTTCCTCAGATTGTTTTGATGATGCTACAGGTTTAATAACTATTAAATATATTATTGTTATTTATAATTAGTTCAATATGAAAATACTAAACAGACCTATATATATATCTTTTAGGTGAAACTCAAGAACATAATTCAGCTCCAGCAATACCAGCAGATGCAGTTTCTCTTACTCTTGCATATAAAAATCTTCGTGCACCAAATGTAATTTACAGGCAAGGGAAACAATTTGTTCCAGAAGATAAATTATCCTTTGGTCACCGTATAGTACCAGTTGATGTAAAAAGTGAAAACCAAATTCCTGATATTGCAGAAGAAAAACTGGTAACAGTAAATAAACCTATTGTAGAATTAAAAATAGCACCTCAAAAAACTGTTGTTATTGGTACTTATGATGAACAAGAAGAAGCAAAACTTGCAGAGCTTGAAGCAGTTGAACGTGAAAGTATAACGCAGGAAGAAACTTCTGATCAAGAAAGTCTTATTACCTACAAGTAAGCTTGATGATTTAAGAAATTATTAACATATACAGGAAAGATATACTATTTATTGTTCATACAAATCGTATATAGTAACTATTTACTATATTATTAACTATTTACAGAGATTTGGGTTATGCACCAATAGATGCAACTTATACAAATACAAAACCTGTGAGTTACAGTCAAGGAATAAGTAGTGGAAAAATTGATGATAGTGAAGAGGAGGCATGTGGACCTTTAGGACCATCAATACCAGGCTATATTCCAGGAAAAATTATAGTTCAAGAAAAGTTTATTGATGATAGTTTTAGCAATTCAGAATCTAGGTCATGTCCAACATAATTTATTAAATAATGATAATACATGTATATTCAATTCTTTCAGTTTTAAATTCTGCTGAAGCTGTGTATTCTTTCCATAGAAGAAGGTAGCAATTTGCACTAGTAAACCGGAAGGATTGAATATTGAGCAAAACAAAAACATTGTAATTTAAGTATTTAATAATAACAAATTTTGTAATATTAATGTGTTTTTATTCTCTTTTATACTGTTTTTAATAATATATTATAAAATTCGTTAAATGAAAGTAACTTGTTAAAAATACATATTATATAACTGTGTAAAATTTTGAAATAAACAATGAACATTAAAATAAAATAGAAATTTCTAACGTATTATACATATATACAATACGTTTTTATATACAATATGTTTACATTAACTATCAACAATAAGTTTATGTGGGCATAAAGTAAAATTAATAACCTCTACTAATGTTCTAATAAATTAATCGTTCGTTAATTAGTTTGGATTAGCATTTAAAAATTATTTTAATCCAATTTTCTTAAGAACTAAACAGAGTACGTTAGAAATTTGAATTGGATAACCTATCAATTATAGCATAAAAATTAATAAATAAAAATAATTAATAAAAATAATTAATCATAGCAACATATTTAAATAAAATATGTATATATGGGTTTATTTATAAAAATAATATGTATGTATGTATAATATGTATAATGTATATATAGGTCTTACTTACAAAAGTAGTTATATTTTCGAATACTATTTGAAATACTACCTAAGCACAAGACTATTTGTAAATATATAGTTACGTTATCGATAAATTACAATAATCTGTTAAATTACACATTGTCTTCAACTAATAGTTCAAGGAAGAAAAAAATAAGGATTAGTAATGACTGCCATGCGTGCTGTCTACTAAGATTTACAATGTTTCTTCGACTTTCGTGGTTTAAGCCTAAGCGAACCTATCAACACTTCGTGAAACATTCTCTAAAGCTGGGAAGGGAAATCTTTTGGTACGAGCACCATATGGTCGAGCATGATGATTCTTTCGAAGGAAATATTATAATATATGGATACATTTGTACATATTTACACACAACGTATTGCTATTTAAAGCATTAACACAATTTTTTTTAAATGACATTTTCTTTTAATTTTATTTGTACATTCCCACATTTATGTTTACCACAATTAATAGAATTATAATGTAATTAAATTAATGTAATTGTAAGTTAAATCATGATTAATTACATTAATCAAATGCAATTGGTGTGGAATTTACTGCAGTATAATTATAATAATACACCAACATTTACAAAATAAAAAAAGATATACAGAGGTTGTGATATTTAGTATTCAAGGTTTTTCAGAAACGATAGAACATTTATAATCTTTTTAATTTACAAACAATACACCTTGATAATAGCGTGCTATACTTTTGCATATTGATTGATATAAAGCAGTAATATTTAAAATTCTTAGGGAACGGTACGTGTGTTTCATTCACGGTTTCATAAACATGTTCGCAGCTTATAGCTTCCGCAAGTACAGAATTGTTTACTGCCTCTTATTGAAGCACGTGCGAAGGTTGCGAAAATTTAAAGTAAAATGCAAAAATTTGTTCGTTATGAAGAACACATACTTAGAAATCGCGTAACATAATACGTATAATCGTTAATCTGATCATAAACCGGAAAAGGAATTGTTTTTAATGAACATATGTATATTAAGAACGCGAGATCGTGGCTACAATTTAATTGTATTAAAAATTTAGGATATCATCATGTATTCAGGAATGATAATCTGGATTTCCACCGTTGCTTATTTATTTTGCAGTTTGAAAAGCTGCTATAGTCTGGATTGCAATGGCGCTAAAATAGTGACTTATGGTGAACCTTGTGTTACGGCTCGCCGACTCCCTTTTCAGATTCAGGTGCAATTAATTAATTAATTAATAGAAATTTATTTTATAATTTCAGCAAAGAATATCTCTCCTATCATCTTGCAATAAATAATAAAAATAATTTCAGGGACCTAAACCGTGTTCCAAAGAGGAAAAGGCACCTGTGTCGTTGAATTTTAAAGTAATTACCGATACGTATACTCAGCCTCGTCATATTGAATATCCAATTTCAGTCGACATGCCGACTACTACCTCATCACCATCAGGAAAGCTTTGCATGGAAGATACTTTACGTGGAGAAGTTTATGCGTACAATACTTACGTTCCGCCCGCTGTTAATCCTTCACTACCTTCAAAGAATTATAACTTTCAAGTTGAAAATCCAATTACAACAAACGAGTGAGTATCCTAATCGTAATTTCATCCTGACCGTTCAAATTTTTTCAAATATAACGTGAGATAAACTTTTTCAGCGTTACATCTGACGATGAATGCGAAACCAAAGTTAAACGACTGAAAGGACTTCAATCCCGAATTGACCGAATACTCGTTCCTGCGTGTGAAGTTTCATCGTTGTCATGTTCATAAATTTTGATACCATGAAATTAATATAAAACAGATAAAGTAATGTAATAAAATACAATAACAACACTAAGGTATAAAAGCGTTAAAATAAATTTGACATGATAAATTATGTTTTTCCTTATCCATTTCACTTGACATTTGTCGTGAAATGCGCGTAAGTAATCACTAAAGAACTAAATACGTGCTTTTTTTTTATTTCTTGAGTATATATGTATACGTAAGGTTACACTTTCATCAATGATATCTCATTTAATCATCTTAACTTTTGAAACTGCGCACCGTGTGCGTGCGATTTACTAAAATAAGATATCAATCGTCTGAATATATGAAGCCGCCTTCATTAGCCAAAATCAGTGAGTGCATTCTTGGTTGGAAGAATGAAGTACAAGTGCTCGCGTGTCTTCTTGTCGTACGTGGTATTATGTACCGCGACATTTAGTGCTGCTAGTGAAAATCAAACTGTCATAACAACAGCAATTAAGAACAGAATACGTAATCCTTTATCTGAATTACTCCAGGATGACTTACCTATTGTCTTACAATCTTTGCAATTATATACAACGTCAGCAGAAAAGGAAATTTTTAATGGAGAGGATAGAGATAGCGGAAAGATAAAAAATGAAGTGGAAGAAGATAATCTGGTGACTTTTTATTTCGTATTTTTCATTTTGTACCATTATTTTGTTTCATTTATCAATAAAAATTAAACATTTTTAGAAGCTTATAGATAACTCAAAGAAGTTGTCAAAGCGTGAAGTAACTGATTCATTGACTTGGGAGTTTTCTAAAGCTAAATTCGAGCATTCAGAATCTTCTCCACAGGATCCATTGGAAAGTAATTCCTGTGAGACACAGGCTGCAAGCCATGGTCACAGACATAGAGTTGGAATTATTGTTCATGAATATTTTTGTGAACTGAACAAGTTCTTTCATTACGTTGTAGACGCTGGGCAAAGTTTAAAGCCTGAATCTCCGTTTGTTCACTTACTGAACATAACTGAAGATGCAATTTTATTTACTGAACTTGAAGATCTACCTGAGTTAATAGAAATCGGAGTAACGCGCCTTGAAGCAATTTTAAAACATCCCGAGAAATTAGAAACGCTATTGAATATTATAAGAAAATCTTTCCGTATCGTTACTCCTATTTTGAAAAGCGTAATTAGGTTGAAAGGTTGCACTGTAAAGTTTATCACTCATATTCAAGATCTTTTTAATTATTTTAAACTTGATTATGAATATATTGTTGGTATTTTAAAAGAATTTGAGAACAAAGTTTTTACCTTCATCAATACCGCATTAAGTTTCATTTATGGATGCATATTAAATCCTATAGAAGAAATAGCAAATTTATTTTCTAAGGCAATCGCGTGGCTGGAAACGACAATCGGTTATTTGATAGATTACGTTCAACAAAAATTCTATCGGCATTTATCACTTTTGGAAGAAGCTATCGATATTTTACAAGCATTTTATAACGGATATACTGCTTCTGGTTTTTCGGAAACTTTAAATATAGCGTTACAAGTTCTGGGATTGTGTAAAAATCCTACAACAAGTGGAGAGAGTTTGCCGATTGCTGCTTCTTCTCAAATGTCACAAAGCAGTATTTCAGGATTACTTTCCGATGAAAAGAATTAATATTCATCATTTTTTATATCAGTAATTACAATTCGTTTATCGATTTCTATATGTAATTTATAATTGAGAATTGTAACATCCTGTCGAATTCTAATCTCTGCTACAAATTTAATATCCACTTACTTGTATTTTTATTATTATTTATTATAACTTAGTATATTATAATGATTCATAATGACGATAAAAATATGTCTCTTTTAGGATATACATTCCTTTCGTTAATTAGAATAATTTTCGAATTCTTATCTTCATCGCAATTAACTTTTTCTCACGACTGTTAAAAAATGTTTGAAATTTAATAATTTATTATACTCACTATGTGTAGCTACTGCATATATATATATTAAAACTGTTTATTAGCATAAGTGCTGAAATAAAGATATTACGTATTAAAAATATCCTTATTCGAATCACATTCTTTACCGCTATTGCGCATAATTTTGTTTATACTAAAGAACTTTCGAGTTTCCAAGAGTCGACAAAAATTCCATATTGATGAGATATTCCTTATTTTGTACTCGATCCTTGAACGATTATTTCTATTTTTGTAAATCTAACCATATAAACAGAAAAACAGATACATAAAGGCAAGAAATAATAGTTTTACCACTAGCGAAATAAAACTCAAGTAATTTAAAGAGTAACTCTGCGAACACATTTTATAGAAATATATTTACTTATATTGCATCAGTTGATTTCAATTACGATGTAAAATATGATGACTACCTAATATGTTTATCGCTAGGATGTACCATTAACTTGGCAAAGTATACAAAAATAACATTTTAAAAAGATCCAGGAAATGGAAATACGTTGATTACACAATTTCCGCAGAACGTAGATAAAGCGTTGTGAAAAACGCAAATCATGACGTAGCATGGAATAATTGCTTGATTTCATCAAAAGTAGTCGAAGAGCGGTTCATTTTGTTTCAGTAGAGCGAAGAAGAGCAACGTGTGCAAGTCGTGTCGCTTAGCTGGCGATAAAGAAATTGAGAATAACTTAGAAGTATAGAGGCTTAAGTGGTTATTAGCGTGATCTTTGATCTTAATTCGTTTTATCATAGTAACACACCTCGCACGAAGCTTTCAAAGCAGTTTACTACCGTCTCTCTAACAGAAACTGTCACATTCTTTCGAGCAATAGTCCTGACAGAAAAGAACAACGATCGATTACATTATGGCTCGATACCTCCTCTTATTCGCTTTTCTGTTTGTCTGCCTAGTTTATGTGTTACAGGTAGGTAAAATATTTTCTTCAAAAATTAAATTGAATGTAATTAAATTTGGTTAATGGTTCGTAACCGAGGATTCTTATAATTATTTCCGGCAATTTATATTAATGCCTAGGCCACTCCAATACCCGAAGATACACCACAATCAAATCCACACGTTCAAAGTGCTCTTGACGATCTAACGAACAAAGCGAAGAAGATGTTCGATGATGCAAAAGGGGCATTTGAAAATGCGGATTTTAATGGCGCCTTAGAGAAGGCGAAAACAGCTATTGGACAGGCTACTGACAATTTTCGAAAAGAGATAGAGAAACTTACAAATAATAAGCGTAAATAATCGTTCGATCAATTGTTCATAACTAAAGTTTCTCTACTATGGATTTATAAATCAGTACAATTACCTTTTTTAATAAAAAGGGCCAACAATTTTCTAGCGTTTCTTTATTAATATTGTATTTTCGTTCGCAAATAACAGATTGCATCATTCTTGTTAGATTTCTAATATGTATAAGTACTTATGTATATGTCTTTTGAAAACAGTGTTAATTTTAACACAAGTATTAAGATAAAAAATAGTATTTACACAACTAATACATAAATAACGCGTGCTTTAATGAATCCATGATTTTCCATGATATAATTATGTATCATTGAACACAAATTTTGAAAATAAAATGTGAAGATAAGCACTTTCCTTGCATTCTCTCATCCTTTAAAAATGTCACTGTTAAAAAGTTATTAATGCTTAAAATTATATAAATAAAATATATAACTTCGAACGTCCTATATGTAGAAAGAATTATATCAACACCATGAAATATCGTTACATAAACTTTTCCTATCTTCATAATACCACCGATAAAGTCATGCATCTCATCAGTTCGTAATACATTGAAACATAAAATATATGTAAATTATATATTTAAATAAACGTGATAATCTACATTTATTAACAGTTATTATCAATTGATATGTGCATCATCGTGTAAATTTTGATACAGAATAAATATCAAACAAAGTGTAGAATAAAAATCGGGTGAAAGTGTATGAATGTATTGCAAATAATAGAATCAAAATGGTCATGGGTCAAGGCTTCTATTGACCGACAGTACACATATAGATAACCAGCTGTTCCATATGGACTTTGAAGGAATGATTCCGTAGCATCGATAGTACACATGCAACAGAAGAATCAACAAGTGCATCAATAGAAATTTTTCCACAAGACCTTGTCCTCTTGACGTAACTTCCTATAAATGCATCTAATACATATTTAACAGCAAATTTCAAAGATCAAAAATGTGATTAAGTAACTGCTTGGTAGAGGAGTTACTCTTTCTTGAAACATTTTTGAATATCAAATTTCTCAACATAATATTTATGTTCGTGATAATAATGGTTGGAAGAAGATGTAATAGCTAACATAAATGTAAATTTGGTAGTTTTGATATTTTTGTGAATTTCAATCCTATTTAATTGCTAAGATAATGTAATTTCTCCGCAGAGAGAAATGCAATGCCTTGAAACTTCGTTTTTATCTTGAACTTTAACTCGAGGATATCAATATAAAATCGACCATCGGAGAGAGAAAGAAAAAATATATAATCACTTATCATAACTTAACGAATATATCGCAGTATTTACTTAACCATGTTATTATTTGATGAAGAAAAAACAAAATTAAATTAAATTATCCATCCCAATCTTACGCACTAATGCTATAAAATATTTATTCATAAAAGTGTATAAACCTATTTTCAGACAATATCTTTAGTAAATATTAAGTTGTAATCAAATTCTTCTCATTATTATCTTTTGAATAAATCATTGAAGAACTGAATGAAATTAATGGTTATCGAGAAAAATTCTCAAGACTTTCTTCTGAAAGCGTCTAAAGAGGAATGCTAAAATCACAATTCATCATCGTCTTAATGAGATAATTGGCTTGCCCTCGTGCACCCTTGATAAGAATCGCCTATAAAAGCAGTAGCTGGTGTAGCCAGCACATCAGTTACTTTCTAGTTGATTTACAGTGAATCCAAGGAAAATGAAAACCATTTTCACGATCATCTTCGCTATTGCACTGGTCTCGGAAGCTAAAGTTGCTCCGTCCAGTACTACCAATTCTCAGGGATCTCCTGAAGTTCAATTGACCGAACTCATCAACCAGGCTCAAACGAACATCAACAATTTAGCCAAACAAATTCAGGAACAATGGAATATCCCCGATCAAGAGACTATGGTAAAAACTGTCAAGGAACAGAGCACCAACTTCATTACCAATATCCAAAATTACATGAAAAACATTACTGAAGAGGTAATAATGAACTATTTAGTTAACTGAACTTGATTTAATATGTTTAGAAACTTAGTTTCTATGAAATAATATTTTTTAATTGTATCGTTTTGAGAAAGACAAGGCTATAAAAAAAGTAAATAAAATTTGTGGATTAGGCTTAAAAAAAAGTATAATAAGAATTCAAATATTGTTTACGTCTATTTAGGTCAAGACTAAGACCCCTGAATTGGAAAGACTATGGGACGGCGTTAAGGTCAAGCTTAACAAGGTCGTCGAAGATATTAACAGTGGAATTCCGAACGCTCAGCAACAAGTCAATGAATTGCAAACTAAATTCCAAGAAGGAGTTCAAACCGTACTCAAGGAATCTGATAAAGCCGCTAAATCTCTGAGCCAACATTCTGGAAAAATCCAGGAAGATCTTGCGAAATTCACGAAACAGGCCGTTGATATTGCCGTAGAAGCAACGCAAAATCTAAACAATCAACTTCAGGCCGCCGCAGCTCAGAAAAGCTGAATAGCCAAATTTCCTCAGGCTTGAAAATGTATTAACTACATGGAGAAAGAGAAGAAGTTCAACAAAATTTTTCAATAACTAACTCTATGAAAAATATATTTTCTTACAATTTCGTTACAGATAGGTTTATTTTTATTCATTCTTAATTATTTTGTATTATATTGTAAGTTAAATACAGGCAAGCTAATAAGTTAAATTAATTAAAATTTCGTCATTCTTCCATTGTACCGTATCATCAATTAATATTTTGACGAGTATAATAATATATATATATATATATATATTATTACATTCATACATACATACATATATATATATATATATATATATATATATATATATATATATATATATATATATATATATATATATATATATATATATATATATATATATATATATATATATATATATATATATATATATATATATATATATATATATATATATATATATATATATATATATATAATAATAATATATATATATATATATATATAATATTATATACATATATATACATATATATATATATATATATATATATATATATATATATATATATATATATATATATATATATATATATATATATATATATATATATATATATATATATATATATATATATATATATATATATATATATATATATATATATATATATATATATATATATATATATATATATATATATATATATATATATATATATATATATATATATATATATATATATATATATATATATATATATATATATATATATATATATATATATATATATATATATATATATATATATATATATATATATATATATATATATATATATATATATATATATATATATATATATATATATATATATATATATATATATATATATATATATATATATATATATATATATATATATATATATATATATATATATATATATATATATATATATATATATATATATATATATATATATATATATATATATATATATATATATATATATATATATATATATATGTATGTATATATGTATGAATGTAGGAAAAACAAAAATGTATGTATCGTTCAACTAACTTTTGAAAGGATACGACGATCGATTGTGACATAATAATTGTGCTTACAGAAGAAATTGCTTAATCACTTGAAATAATGCATTGCTTAATATTAAACATATAAACCATTTATTTAACGTCAGCAAATACCATCAGATGAAAAATATATGGATAAGAGAAATAAATTC